CTTTTCCACTACCTTGTATGGCCCACTGAACTTTGCTTTTAAGGCATTACCAGGCACCGGCTCAAATGCTAGTACCTCCTCTCCCACTTCAAAGGTACGAGGCATGGCCTTGCGGTCAAATTGTTTCTTCATCTTGGTTTGGCTGATGTGCAGGTTCGCAGCCGCCAGATGCTTCATGTGAGCCAAACGGTCTCTGAAAGCGAGAAAATCCTCCGAGGGGGCAGCCTCACAATCTTCACCAAGCCAGTAATCCTTCAAAATCGTCAGTGGTCCCCGTACCTGGTGACCATAGATCAGTTCGAAGGGACTATAGCGTAATGAATCCTGAGTGCTGTCCCACACGGCAAATAAAAGGAGGGGGATACCCTCATCCCAGTCCTTCTGGTACTGGGCACAATAAGCCTGCAGCATAGTTTTGAGAGACTGGTGAAACCGCTCCACAACCCCTTGACTCTCTGGGTGATAGGCAGTGGAGGTCGTCATTTTAATATTAAACTCCCCCAAAACCGTGCGAAAATGTTTAGATGTAAAATTTGACCCCTGATCTGTTTGAATTTCCTTAGGGATCCCGACCTGCGTAAAAAATTTCACCAATGCTCTCAAGACCACGCGTGTTGTAATCTTACGTAGTGGAATGGCCTCCGAAAACCTGGTAGAGGAACAAATAATAGTAAGTACTGGTTTCCCATCTTGGTCCTGGGTAGCGGCCCCACACAATCCACCACCAGCCTGCTAAAAGGTTCTCCAGCTACTGTAATAGGGTTAAGAGGGGCAGGTTTAATTCCCTGATTAGGTTTTCCTACACTTTGGCAAACTGGGCATGATTCTACATACTTACCCACTGAGTCCCATACCTGGGGCCAGTAAAAATGTTTAGAAATCTTGCCCATAGTCTTTTTAACACCTAAATGTCCTCCCATGGGAACATCGTGGGCCAAACACAAAACCTGATACCTAAATGGTTCCGGCACCACCACTTGGTAGAGTGCCTGCCGTGCTCCATCATTAGATGTTGCATCCGATAGGGTCTTTCGCATTAAAATACCGTCTGCAAAAAAGAAACATTTAGTTAGTTGAGAGGCCTCTTCCTCGGTAACAGCAGATGACCGAATAGCTTTTAGGGTGTCGTCACACCCCTGGGCCTCGATCAGCTGCTCTCGAGTAGGAGTCGCCCACCCCCTATACCAGCTCCAAGACCCCCACTCAAACAGGGTCTTGCCTGGGATGGTTCATCACAACCCCGAGCCAACTGCAGGCTAGGCTCGAGGAATAGATTTCCCAAACCCAAATCATCCCCAGGATCTAACGAGTCACAGAGAGAGACTGCCCTCTTATCTTTTGACATTTTCCTGGTTACTGCATACACCGGAAATAACTCGGGCAAGGTATCCCTAGCTTTTTCCTCCCAACTCTGTGAGGCTGGGTCCCTCCAAACCAGAGGTTCCTCACTTTCAAGACAACCCTTGACATTATTGCCTAAGAGTAGGTCAACCCCTGCACAAGGTATATCCTCTGTGATACCTACAGCTAAGTAACCACACTGATATGCAGACTCCACCCATAACCTGTGCACTGGAGTCTTGACAGGGCATCCTGTAATTCCTTTGAGCAAAACGTCCAACCCAGTGTATGTGTCATCCGACACTGGCAGTATGCCCCTACGAAGCAAAGTGTACGTGCTACCAGTGTCCCTCAAAGACATAACACCTGTTACCCTACCTTCATTTTGGTGTAAGGCCACGGTGAACTTGCTTGTAAAGACCTTCATCCGAGGGTCCAAACCTGCTGAGTTACCTGATATACCCGGAGGTGGTGCTTCAATATTAGCTACCGTGTGGGTACCTGGTGTATCTACCTGAGAAACTCCAGCAAGTGCCTGATCTCTATGCATCTTCTTGCAATACGGCTGCAGATGGCCCTGTTTATGACAATAAGTACAGTAATATGGTTTAAAGGCCCCCTGCCATTTTGACCTAGGTTGAATCCCTTGGTTCAGGGGAACTGGGCTCGTCCCACCTGTTCCTTGTAGTCCTGAACCTGTGACAGCTGACTTAAAACCTCCTCGAGTGGGTACTGGTAAATTAGGGTTATTAAAACTCTTGTGGTTATTAGGCTGATAGATGGGTGGCTTAAACTTCTGAAATTTTTTATTCCTATTGGTGGGTGGAGAAAACTTACCATTATTAGTATGTGGGGTGTGGTAACTACTACCAAATTTTTGGTTAGCTAAAAATCTGTCACCCATCCTAAGCATTATTAAATCATCAAGATCCTTCTCCTCAAGATATGCCTTAAGGTCAGATGGAACATTTCCCAAAAGATCCTCTAACAAAATTAAGGTAATTACACCTTCATAATTGCCTACCACCCCCTTTGAGCGACACCACCTATTTAGAAGTGACATCTTCTCCTTACCATATTCCACCAAAGACTGCCCTGACTGAAACTTTAGTCCTCTGAATTTCTGCCGGTACCTTTCCGGCAACATTTGATAAGCCAGTAAAACTACCTCTTTTAGCTTATGATAATCAGAAAATGCAGATCCTTCTAAAGAACTAATAGCCTGTAACCCTTTACCAACTAATTGGGTTCTTGCTAATGTCGCCCATTCCTTTTCCGGCCAAACTTGGGATTTGGCCGTACTTTCAAATAACAGAAAAAACTGGTCTGGGTCTTTCTCTAAGAATTTGGGCACAAATTTTATGGCTTTATCCAAATGAAAAACATCTACCCTTGTGTCTGTGTCTGGGTGAGAAGCAAGCTGCCTCTCTTTAGCTCTTTCTTGAGCCCTAAGCTCCTCTAAAGCTCTCTGTTCCTGGATCTTTGTGCGCTCAATCCTTAACCGTTCCTTTTCTTCTGCAACTAGGGCTAATTTCATTTGTAAAATTACTACTTCCTTATCCAGGTCCCTATCATGGGGATTTGATTCAATGTCACCTTCTAAATGCATGTCATCCTCAGAATTTTCACCAGTGTCAGCCATTTTGGGAAATAATAGCACCAAATCTTACTACCAGCCACAGAACTTACTGATATAAAATAATAAAGCACACAGCAAGGTACATATACTGAAGTAGTATATTCACAAGGAGTTGTCATGTGACTCCCTCAAATTAAACAGGATTGCACACAAAAAGAAAACCCTGGCAGAAAAAAAATAAGAGCTACTGCACCTGCAAAGGTAAATTATTCCCAGAAATTTAGGTGAACATAACCCCCTAAAAATCAGCAAGATTGTACCTGCAAGGGTAAATTATGCACAAAATATCAAGTATTAATAACACCCTAAAAATCAACAATATGGCACAGAAAGGTAAATTATTTATAGAGTATTAATTAATAATAACACCTAAAACCAGCAATATTATACAGAAAGGTAAATTATTCACAGGGTATTAGTTAATAACAACACCCTAAAAACCAGCAATGTTGTACACAAAAGTAAATTATTCACATGAAATTAATTAATAATAACACCCTAAAAACCAGCAATGTTCCAAACAACAGGTAAATTATTCACATGGTATTAAATTAATAATAACACACTTAAAACTAGCAATGTTGCACACAAAAGTAAAATTATTATTTAGTGTGAGCGTTATAGTGAATGCCCTCCTCTTTACCAAACAATAAAGAATGATTATTGACTTCCAGGTTGCAAACTTGAATTATCACAAAATTGATAATCCAATACACCCCATGTTAGCAAAAGTGGATAGCCGGGGCTTGAGCCTGGTCAAGGGCGAGGTAAAGTTACACACATACTAGCCAAACGGCACCAGGCATCCCAGACAAAACAGAAAGCGCTAAACTGGTATGTGTACTTAAAGGGGGTGGGTAACAAGAGGGTTAAGCAAAAATCCCAATTAGGAAAATATATCTATTTAGTCACCATAACATAACATAACAGAAAAACCTTAATCCTAAACGCCCAAATGAGGGTACACAAGCAACAGCTGGCAGGAGGTCCAGCCACCAACCACTATGCCTCGTCAGCGCCAGGCCCACACTACTCCCAACCTCATTTCTTATTTCCTCACTCCTCCCACAGCACCCTGACCATGTCAGAGCCTGGGTGAACATACAGGTAAGCCATATGAGAGCCTATGGCTTGAGTTGGATAAACAAAATGAGTGCACAACTACAAACTTATCTTAAATACACAGCATCTCCGACGCCAGCCTCTACACACCATGCTAACGTCACGTGACCCCCAAACCACGCTTACTCCGCGTACCCAAACATCATTGGAAAATAAATCATTAACGGAATTTCTTTATAATTACAGTCAGAGTACTTTACAGTACCCCCAAATGCACATTATCAATTATAAAGTTATTCTTTACAACTATAATATTCATACTATTATGGCACACTTCTCCACTATATGTACATACGATGTCATACAGAACCCTGCATAACAGGTATGGTATTTTTTTTCCCTCTATCCCCAGTTGGCAGGGATAGAGTGAGAGAGAGAGAGAGAGAGAGAGAGAGAGAGAGAGAGAGAGAGAGAGAGAAAGGATGGGGGAGCACATTCTTCTTTACTGTTGTGGAGTCAGATATCTTGTATCAGAAGACAGTCCCCCTTGAACATTTTAGTAGATTGTCCTCTGTAGATTACCTCGATGCAGATTAAAAATTCTTCCTTTATATCCTTTCGCATATACTTTTATGCACCCAAGAACTTTTATGCGATCACTGCTGTGTGTGTGTGTGTGTGTGTGTGGTGGTTGTACCTATTTGTGGTTGCAGGGGTCGAGTCCTAGCTCCTGGTGTGTGTGTGTGTGTGTGTGTGCGCGCGTGTGTGTGTATGTGTGTGTGTGTGTGTGTGTGTGTGTGTGTGTGTGTGTGTGTGTGTGTGTGTGTGTGTGTGTGTGTGTGTGTGTGTGTGTGTGTGTGTGTGTGTGTTTCCTCCCTGTAATCACAAAAAATATCTTATTATGTTCCTATTCATCTCTCGCATTCCCTCCACTCTCATTCCGCCTCTCTCTCTCTAGTGTTCCTGAGTCTGCTGACACCACTGGCAACTACTGGGACGTTGCTGCAGACGCAGGGATCATCAGTGCCTAGACTGGCCTCGACAGTGTTCTCCCAGCAGAACAATACGGAACTCAGGTCGCAGGTGGGCACCACTGCCGTCCTCCACTGCGTCGCTCAGAATGTTGGAGACAACACGGTTAGTAGATATCATTGAAGCTTACGAGTATTTGTGTTAGTGTGTGTGTATACTCGCTGATCTGTACTCGTCTATTTGTGTTTGCGGGGTTCGAGAATCGGATCCTGACCCCGCCTCCTATGTACTTTGATTGGCATCAGTGACTTCTCGATGCTGCATAATGAAAAGCAGGGACGCCATCAGTGCACTAAGAGACAACAAAATAAACGTCAGGGGCCCAAAACTGTTCAATTGCCTCCCAGTGTACATAAGGGATATTACCAATATACCCCTGGCTGTCTTCAAGAAGGTGCTGAACAGACACCTAAAGTCAGCATCTGACCAGCCGGACAGTAGTTCGTATGTCGTTTAGAGTGCGGCCAGCAGTAACAGGTTGCTTGATCGGGCCTTCATCCAATGGGAGACCTAGTTACGGACCGGGCCGCGGGGGAGTTGACCCCCGCAGTCCGGTCCGTGTATTGTAGGTATACCACTGCCTCATTTAAGTCATTCTACTTCTCAACCACCCAAAGAAATATTTCTTTGCATCCCTTTTGACACATCTTCATCTTGCATATGTCACTCTGTTATATGGTTTGTTTGCAATTCTAGCAATGTGCTTTGCGTTACATTTACTTCCAGGTGCTTTTCATTCTTTTACAGCTACAGATTTTTACCGCCAATGCTGTAATCTGTGTCCGGTAAGCTTCTTTCTCCAAAACGCGGAATGTTGCAATTATTTTCATTGAACTCGAGAAGCCACACTATGACTACATCTGCACTAGGTTGAGTTCTCTCTAGAATTCATCAGTGTTTTCAATTCGTCGTTTCCATCTCATTGCATTCACATAGAAAATATGAGATCGCCTGTGGCATATCGTTCTCGTATATTAGGAACAATTGTGGTATTAACACTGATCCCCGAAGAACTCAACTCGGTATTCGTTCCCATTCTGATGTCTCATCCCTTACCGTTACTTTGTTTTCTGTTATTTAGGTTCTACTTGACCCATTGCAGAACCCTTAAATTTTGCTTGTTCTGATTTCCGAACTATATCAAGGGCTTTCCTACAGTCCAAGAAAATGCATTCCACCCAAACCAATCTTTGTTTAATCTCTGTGACTCTGTCGTAGAATTTAAGCAAATTCGTAGGAGAGGATTTTTCCCCTCCTTAAATCTGTACTGGTGTCCTGTAAAGAATCTTCTCTTCAAGTTTCTCAGTAATTTTTATCTTGCTATTTTTTCATGGACTTTTGATAACATGCATGGTAGAGATTGAGCTGTAATAATTCAAGACCTTTTTATGTCTTCGTTTTAATAAATGGGGATCTCATTTGCCCTTTTTTTCAATTTTATGGCAGCTGTCCTGAATATACCTCTGCTGAATGGTCATAGTTGTAACGCGCCTTCTCTCAGTACTCATGGAGATATAAAGATATATAGTCTCATCACTTTTCTGTGTTAATGCTCTGCAGTACCTGTTGCTCTCTTGTGACTACAGTGTCTTGTCTCCACTTTCTTCAGTAAACATTTTGAATCTTTTGCCAGGCACTTCAAACACTTCTCTGTCAGCCTGTCAGCGTCGCTTCCATCTTCATCAGACTTGTCACTTGTGCCTTCAGAGTCGTCATTTTTCTTATGTCACTGTGCAGAAACCTTGGTAACTTTTAGCCTTTGATGATAAATAATTTTCAAACAATGTTTCTCCTCTTATTCTTGTGTATTCTTCTCTGTCTGCAGCTTATATACAAGTTTTCTGAATTCTGATTTGCTCTATACTTTTTGTCCAAGCTCTCTTGATTCTCCACTTAACCTCTTTGCATTCTCTTGGTTTATCCTGAATTTTTCCCCTCTTCATGTTTGGTATGAATCTTTCCTTTGCCTCTTGGCACTTTGACTATTGCTTCTATCATTTTATGTAAAGTTCTGACTTTCAAGTTCGCATTACCATTCCACTTCACTGAGAAAATTATCAGGATATCAGAGTTCACTAGTCTGTTGTCTCATTATCTGTTATTTCCTTTAATTCTTTATTCTAATTTCCAAAAGACTGATGGCTCCCATTAATTCCCCTTAAATAATGTCTGCAAAATATACTCAGAGGCATCCCTGTTCGCAGATGTGAAACTAATGAGAATACAAACAGGTAAGGACCAGGAAAAACTACAAATGGCCCAGACAGGTTGCAGGTGTAGTCAGACAAATAGGTGTTAGAATTTAATCCCAGCAAGTGCAAAGTTATGAAGATTAGATGGAGTATAGGCTCGGGAAGCAAAGACTGCAAACCTCATTCAAGTACGTCGAGGTGAGCATTGTACCTAGAATTTCACCTGAGTACATAAACGGAATATCTCCTATACCAAACTATGGTTTAGCAACTCAAAGTTTTTAGGAACATAAGCAAGGAGTCATGCAGGACATTGTACATAGTATATGCCAGGTCTTTACTGGAGTATGCAGCACACCTGATCAGTCATGTGAAGAAATAAATCTTGGAGCAAAGGGGTGAATGCTTTCAGGAGAGCTCGATGGAGCTAAACCTTGTTCACATTATAGGAAAGTAGGATTAGGGGTTATTTGATAACGTACAAATTACTGAGAGAAATTCATGAGGAGGACAAAGACAAATTGTTCGAAAAGCGGAAAACAGGAAGACGAGGGTACAACTGGATGTTGAAACCCGAGAGGTGTCAAAGGGATGGGATATTAGGTAATATTTTTTCAGTCTTAGGATGAACAGTAACTGGAATGCCCTGGGCTGTGTAGCAGATGTGGGATCCATACACAGCCTTAAGAAGATGCACAATAAGATTCTCTAAGCCAGGAGAAAGTAAACCCAGAAACTACCAGTGAAGAGGCGTGGTCAGGGACCAAGACTACATCCCTGCAGCCACATATAGGCGAGCATATACAGACGTGTGCATGCAGTCATGCGAACACTCGTACACACACACACACACACACACACACACACACACACACACACACACAAAACACTGGAAATAAAAGGCAATTATTCACTGATCAGAAAATTAAAGAAACGTTTCATCCCAAGTGGCATCGTCAGTTCTGATGCTGAGAAGCTAAAACGTATGGTGGAAGAGGTCAGGAGAGCACAGGTTACAAATTAAGTAACATATTTAAAGTTAACATCTTGGATAATCTTACAAGATAATATTACTGGTTAAATAAGTATTAATATGCATAATGCGGTAGACCTCTTGCAATGCTCCTGGGACAATAGTGTTATCTGGAGAGGTTTTGGATATTCTTTAGCTGCCTGATTTATGTTACTGCTGCTTCCAGGCACTTGCGTCTGTACAAATAATTTTTGGGTATTATTAGATTGGCTTCAGTGGCTTATATGTATCCCTCTGTTCTGTTATGTATGCAGGCGTTATTTCGGTTGTTCTGTCTGAAGTATTTTGGTGTTCTCGACGTTTGAATGCAAGTGACCTTGATATTTAGCTTACATTTTGTTTCAACCTCTACAGGAAATGATGTATTCGATAACTTCGTTACTGGTATGTTATCTGGGCTTGTTCTTATTTTTCACCAATTCTTGGATGTATATCGAGGTGCTCATGGCTATGAATCGATGTCCGTTTCTCATTAGTTATGCCACCACCTCCACCACCACCACCATACATCACAAGACACGTTGCTCACTGGCAAAATGATGTGTTTGACGAGCGATTTTGATGTGTTATCTATGACCGCAGACCACATCCGTCTCTGGCATCTTAGTATTCTCTCCCTCAGTTTTTCCTCTTTCACAGTTCTGTATCTTTCCGCCTGCCTTAGCTTGGTTTCTTTTCATAATCCTCTCTCTTGCCATATCTGTTTGTTGTAAGTCAATTTAACTGGGTGTATTTTTCACCCTCTAGTACTTTTTAAGTCTCTAAAAAAAGTGTCACCTGGTTTGCTTCGGCCTCCCGACTTATCAGTTTAATGAATACTTTGAATCTCCTCTTCGTCTGCCTCCCATATTTCATCACGAGTCCTCCATTCAGCCTGAAGCTCATAGATAATCAACGACCCTTCTCCTACTCCATCTTCCATTCCCTCCAGATTTAGTACTTTGATCAGTTCTTTGCTTTTCCTCTTACCAACTGTACCTTCCAGTTACCTGAGAATATTTCAGCAAAGGTCTTGTTTGCTCCCTCATCTCATCCTGTTCCCTCACCTGCTATTATTTTTGCCTACTACTCATTCCTCATTCCCTTGTTCTCCTCTAGTTCCTTTCTCAACTCTCCTATATCTGTGTCTAAGCATTGTGCTTTTCCTTCAATGATTGTAGCTTTCATTTACCTTTCTATTCTTTCTATAGATATCTTCTCTATCTTTTCCTCCATCTCTTTGGGAAAATAAAATTCCTCTATTCTTCTGTCTGTTGTCTAAAATTGTATAATATAAATTCGTCAGTCCACCCACGTTCTGATGCTTCCTCCTCCTGTTAGCTTTCAGGTTCCCATTACTTAATTGCTCAAATATCACCTAGGCTGGTACAGTAACGTCCTCTGATTGCAGGTTACACTGATGAAGGAGCCTCCAGTCCCTGCCCTAACATATGTATAGACAGTTTTTTACAGATCTGAGTGAGTGAGTCTGTCTGTATCTGTCTCTGTCTGCCTGTTGTTGCATGGGATCGATTATCATCTCCTGGCTCCATCTCTAAACTTGCCTCTCTTCGGATGTACCTCCTCCTAACCTCCTGATTCCAGTCATGCCTGTTCGTAAGAGAATGTAGGAATCCTTCCTCCTCTAACTCATCATCCAGGTCATTCCTAGTCCTTCTGAGACTGACGAAATACTTCTTGACATCACTTATTTATTTGTATTCTCTTGCACCTGTTCCCCGCCTTACGACACTGTTCCTGCTCTCCCTGTAGATTCCACTGAACACTTAGCAAGTTATTAATATAGTTCCCTCTGTGTCATCGTCTAATGAGTAAGATACACTATAGTTCTCATAGTTCTGGTACTAGTTATGTACAAACCTTTGCACTTTCTCTGGTAT